ACTTACCTCCTCGTGGTGCACCCTGGGCAACGTATAATCACACGGCAAAAAAGTCTATTAACCGGCAGTTGACTTCTCACTTCAAACAACCATCACCCCCCACTGAATGTCATATTCGACCTCTTCCACAGTACTCAATCACCTTTTCCTATACCTTTGTCTGTCTCTTTTACATCTGTGAATCACTCTTCTATTCTCCCTCCCGAATTCTTCTCACCTTGATGTTCCTCCTCCCCTCTGTGAAGGACGAAGCCAACTAAAGGGCCAATGATAACTATCAAAACACCTGCCATTTGATATAAATAAATATTTATTTTTGCCCATTTGAAGATAATCTTGCCTTAAGCCATAAACGCTAGGGATGTTCAATTCACCGAAACTTGATCAAGGTAGACAGTGGTAGAACAGGGGCGGAATGGTGAAAAAGAGAACCGAAACGGTTGCAACAGATATTTTTTCCGTAAAATGTATACTTGGTTTCTGTGGATAAGAAAACAATTTGTAAGCGTTTTGATGCATTTTGGAACGCTTTAAATTTTTGGAACACAGTTTTTTCTGACTAAGTTATGTTTAAATAATAAAGATTGGTTTTGGCTTTCAAAGAAAAGATATCAACTTAGAAATTATTCCTGAGGTTTGCAGAAGAGGTAGCGTGCTTCCAACAGTTTCCTTTGCTATTTCCAAAATTCGAACATTTTTCCCTAAGAGGCCATTTTCGACTTACTTTTTAGTAGAAAACATTTCATCTTTCACGCATTCGTCTCGGGCGGTCAACTTTCAACTATGTATTCTATTTTCACTCATGCATACAGATAAATGTGATTTATATTCATTAAAATTATCTATTGTGCTATTACCACAGTGGGAAATATACGCACCCAATAAGTCCAGTATATCTTCTGAAGTTAGTAAACAAAAAAGTTATTTAATTCAGGCCATTAAAGGCAATAACAGCTTACGAATACCCCATAGGTGTGGCCACAGAATTCATTTTCTCAATTGGAGTCAAAAGTATTCGTGGTAGAATTGTCCATTCTATACGTGACGTATAGCTTAAGTAAAAATTTGTTTTAGAAATACGAATGATTACATCTATAGGGAAGTAAGGAGAACGTAGTTCTTGAACATTGTATTTAAAACAAAAAATATCCATAGTAAAATGAACAGATTTGAATTTGAATTCAATGAAATGAATAAGGAGGTTATCTGTAAATCCGTAAGAAGGACAATTCGAGAGAATTCTAATGAAATTAGCAAATAGAATTCTTGAATAATTTGGCTTATATCATATTCTCACAGAAACACGTATATCGAGGGAAAAATCGTCGTCAGTCATACAGTTAAGCTAAAGGAAAAATGAATGTTTATGCTGAAAAGAGGCATAAAGTCTAGATCTACTTTAATATTACCCCTGAGACAATCAATGTCTACTATCCTGAAGATCAATGGCTCCAAGTCTTCACTGGTGGGTCACCAAGCAAACGTTGGTGCAGGTGTCTATTCTGAACTCTTCTCTTTCTACGCAGCAGCGGGACACAATAGATCCGAACATGCTAAGAAGGGGACAACGATTTTGCAACTCATGGACCGGCTTTAATCAGTAGAGAGTTTAAAACCTCAAGGTGCAACGAGCTTAAAACGCGAAAAAAGGAGAAACAGTGGACAGTGGCACTCTCCGACATAGCTGACTGGCCAAGAATCGAAGCCTTTGCTGAGTTTAGACTACGTACCTGACACGGTTACCAAGAATCGAAGCCGTTGCTGAGTTTAGACTACCATGGCCAAGAATGGAATCTGTTGCTGAGTTTAGACTACGTAATGGCCAAGAATCGAAGCCGTTGCTGAGTTTAGACTTTGGCCAAGAATCGAAGCCGTTGCTGAGTTTAGACTACGTACTAGAGAAACAGTGGACAGTGGCACTCTCCGACATACCCGACTAGCCAAGAATCGAAGCCATTGCTGAGTTTAGACTACGTACCTGACACGGTTGCCGACTGGCCAAGAATCGAAGCCGTTGCTGAGTTTAACTTTGGCCAAGAATCGAAGCCTTTGCTGAGTTTAGACTACGTACTGGACACGATTGTCTCGCAAAACACTATCACAGATTGGGAGTATACACTCAACCCACATGCCCTCTATGTAACCTACAGGAGAAAATGGAGAAGTCCAACCTGATTCGGTGTTCAAAGGAGGAAATGGAGAAGACCCACCTGATTCGGTGTCTAGCGGAGGAAATGGTGATGACCCACCTGATTCGGTGTCCAGCTCTAAAGACAACGGAAAATGGAGAAGTCCAACCTGATTCGATATCCAGCCCTAAAGAAAAAGACGGAAAGCCATAGATACTGGGAAACAAGAAGACAGCTAATGAACTGCTATTATTTAACTGCTATAGATGTACCCCCCACCCATGGGGGAAGCTGAAGTCAAAGTTTCGCTAATGATAAAAATATCAAAGCCTGCCATTTGAAATAAAAAATGTACCCCCCCCCTTCTTGGGGGAAGCTGAAGTCAAAGATTTAGACCCCCCCACCCTTGGGGGAAGCTGAAGTCAAAGTTTAAGGCACCCCCCACCCATGGGGGAAGCCGAAGTCAAAGTTTAAGGGCTAATGATAAATATCATAAAGCCTTGCCATTTTGAAAAGTACCCCCCCCCTCTTGGGGGAAGCTGAAGTCAAAGATTAACCCCCCCCCTTCTTGGGGGAAGCTGAAGTCAAAGATTTAGACCCCCCCACCCTTGGGGGAAGCTGAAGTCAAAGTTTAAGGCACCCCCCACCCATGGGGGAAGCTGAAGTCAAAGTTTAAGGGCTAATGATAAATATCATAAAGCCTGCCATTTGAAAAACTTTGATATTACTATTTCAATCTGGCTAACTGGTGTCGCTAGTGCCTAAGCCACCATAAGAGTGACTGAGAAGAACCTACTTCGTAGACACATCATCCAGAGGTCAGTAAGGCCAGAGATTATTTATCCGATGTGAGTGAAATTTCCAATTAAGAACTGGTGAATAAGTGAACAGCAGAAATAGAGTTTCTCACAACGAAATACCTGTATAGTTAGAACTCACAATACCATAGAAAACGGAAATCGATATCATAAAGAGGCCCAGAAATGACAGTATTTGCAGTCTATTTATGACCATTTCATTAAATTTATGAAATAGAACATGGAATGTGTTTAGTGACTAGTAATATGCTTATTGCTTCCTAATCAATTCCATTGAATGATTTTAGGTTTCCAACAAATTTTAACGCACTTTTAATCAGATAAATAACAGTTTTTTAAACTTAAATAAATATACATGTTGGGGCAATATAAGTGCTCTGTGTATCTTTCGTTTTGACGAAATATTTAATGAATTTATCAATAAATATTCATTTTATAATAATTAATTATCATTTATTTTTCTAATGATAATTTTAATATTCTAAACAATAAACTTGAGCCCTTTAATTCCGATTGAAGAGTAAATGGGCAATAAAATTCTAAATTTTATATACGGATTGAGTAATCCTTTCAAATATCCTTTTCTCTCTTTTCCAGAAAATTAGGCCAAGCAAATACACCCAATGTGAGTAAAGACATAGCGTTGGATTACTTCTCAATGATGAGTAAAAAACAAAATGAGACCGAGTTTATATGGAGTCTCATTGACCGTAAACATACTAGAAATCCATTGAGACTAAGATTTTTTCGGATCTTGAAGCTACTGGGTGTCAGAAGAACAAGGGACTTTGAGTTCAAGGAAAGGGAGATCAGTAACCCCGGTTATTACATTCGAGCTTTCAGTAAACCTATGAAGTCACCATCAATTGTCACGAGTAATAGCTCTCCCCAAAATACTCCCATAAGCAATAAAATAGTTCCCTCTATGAAAATGTCACCCTCACTATTTTGAATTACTTTCATAATTTCTAAAACAATGTCTTTGGAAGCTTTGAACAGGAGTTGGAATTACTCACTGAAGCCATAAAAATTTGAATTTTTTATTGCATTATAAGTGAATGATAGGCCTCAATTAAAATACTGTGAAAAGAATATTTCTAATAAAAATTTAAATGCCTCATCAAAGTGGTTTTATGTCGCACTATTAAATTTAATTTTTCCGTGATGCTGATTATTCTAAAAAAAAATAAACCAAAACTAGAAACTCATCGGGATTTTGCTTTGAGATATTCCAAATTTTACGATCATGGTACAATGCCAAAGAATTCTATTGATAGCATTCACTACTTCTTTTGTTTTAATTCGACATTCACATGTCATTCAATTCATACCCTTCCGCTCAGTAGATCATGAACAGAGTCAGTGACGTAGAGGCCGTTGTGTTAGCACTAGATAACTTCATAGTTCAAGAAGAAATTTTGTCGACTATCGATTTCTTGGGAAGTTTTGCTTCAAAATATCGCAATCTTTAATTTCTTGCTCCTCATACAATGTTATAAATGCTTATTAAGGAGACGTTCATTGTAGGTACTGGAAAATTCCAAGAGTGAATTGAAAGCACAATTTCCTGCATTCATTTTATAATATTACGTAAATTAGTTTCTTCATGTCTATTTTATGCCACAGTTGCATGCAAGAGAGAATTAATACTGTATTAAGCCTCTTCAAAAGTTAATAGTTTCTACTGAAAATAGCATATCAGTGACAAACAGATTGCATTGTTATGTATTCAGATTTCCTGAACGTAAATGAATGTATGCGTTCAAGTAAGATGACATTGGCCAAATAGTTGAGCGTGATGGAGTCTACGCAAATGAATGTATGTGTTCAGGAAGGATAGTATCAAACACATTTTTGGGGGGGGGGNGGGGGGTTGAGGATGGGATGACGTCTGTTTCATGTTCATCGTCAAACTTAAGCAAAGCATTGCTCCTCAATGTATTTACTGATACAATTAACTCAAATGCAGTAGTATTTGTTGGAAGAATGCAGGAGAGAGAAGCCTAGTGGCTCGAAGTACTTTAGAACTCCTTATGCAATTGATGCCTGGTGGTCTACCTACAGTCGAGGTGCGCTTCCCTCGACAAACAGTTAAGGGGTCATGAGCATTGTCCACACGTTTGTCTATGCGAATGAAGAAAGACTACCTGAGGGTTGTAAAAGGGATTCTCCTTACGGAAAGCCTTTGTAAGTTTTATTAATGTCAAATGATTATTGAAACTAGGGTCTGATAACAATGGCAAGATAGAGTGAACTGGCACATACTTCTTACCTGAATTCAAAATACATTAAAGAATTAGTAAAATGAACAAGAGCGAGTGGGTTCAACTTGTTTGCTACTTTAAGTTCGGTCATATTGGAATATTGCTGAAGTAAAGCTCTAGTACCGGCTACTGATCTTCAGTAACCCTGTACTAATTGGCGATGTCGACGGATTGGCAACATGATTTGTGGCTTTCACGTGATTTTGTTTACTGTGTTAGATTTCGATAGCATAAGTTCAATCTGCTTCTCTTTGGAGTAGAAGCTTGAGATTCAAGGGTTTCTGATAAATTATGCCATTATAAATTTGAGGCATTTTGCAATTCCAGTTCTAATGTGAGTCAAATGATTGCAAAGCAATCACCCTATATGAAGTTCTCCTAAATGACTAACTTCGCTTTCCTTAGCCGGAAATAAAACTGACGTTCTTATAAAAAAATTTTGGAGTGCAAAGCATGCTTTTTAAGGTATAAAATTATTAATTTTAAATATATTTCCATATTTTTTCTTATCGTCTTTAAACAAATTCTAAATTAACTTTAGTGACACATATTTTATTCAATAAAGTTAATATTCTACCCTGTAGCGGATTGCTACACTAGTGGAGCCTGACTGAATCAGAAATCTCTGTGGCAGATTCTCCTACATCTAGCTAAACTTCTAGAACTTGCTAAGCTACAGACCAGTGATAGAGGTAACAGACGTACAGCACGGAACACGCTTATTCAGTAGGGTCATTGTGAGTAAAGTGTACACGCAGGGAGCTTGATCATGATCAGGATGGTGGATTAGGTTAAACAAACAGAGGGTAATGATTGGTCACTGTTTGTACGGTCACTGCACACAGAGTTTTACGGCCGCACCTCCCAATCCTGGCGTGCAGCATGCGTTGACACGTTAAGGGAGACGTACCCCACAAGCCCTAAAAACTCCGAAAGTTTTGTCCCTTCTTTTTAAAATGAGCGAAGTTAATCGAACTTAACAATATACGCTTTTTATTTTGTTACAAAAATTTAAATAGAATTATATTGAATCGAAAGATTATAAATAAGAGGGGTAGTTGGCATAATTAATGCGTATTTACACTCTAGTAATGCGTTATGACATACTAGTTTCATCAGAAATAACGACGAAGCTAATAACTGGCCTCAATTTCGTTTGATATTTCTGCATTTCAAGCATTTAAACATTACTTAGAAGAAAAAACCATTTCATGAGAATTTAATCGATTCAAATTTTTTGAAGTAAAAAAGTCCATTGTTTATATTTCCTTTTTGTTTTTATTCGTTCATCTCGCATTTCCACCACTCTCTAGTTTTCCCTAACAATTCATTGTTTCG